AACTAGCGTTAGCGTGGCTATCGAGCAAGTTTTATCGGAATTACAGAGTATTTCTTCACTGAAAGAAGAGCAAAACACTGCTCTGGAGGCTTTTCTCAGAGGAAAAGATGTTTTTGCTCTTCTCCCGACTGATGGTTTCGGCAAGAGTTTGATCTATAAATTGGCTCCTCTTCGTCGTCGCTCCGTTTTACGTCATATGCTTCGTTGATCTGATTGGTTTATTTGGCCCGTCTGTCACCAACATAGGCCAATCAGCTAAGCAGTATTTTAGCCCCTTCCCAAAATTACTTTAACGGAAGGTTTGAAGAAAAGGAGTCAGGTTAGAAGAAAGTCACTGCATGGATGGAATTTTGATTTCAGAAGTGTTTGATCATCCAATCACAGTCCCGATTAAGTGGCGTATCAGATATTTGTAAAGTGAGCTTCTCAGGACTGACAGCGGTGACAGCCAATCGCACAAGAAAAGACAGTGGGCCAATCAGGAGCTTTTGGACGGGTCTAAACTTCAGTTTGAGCTGCGGTTCTCCGCTTGGTCCTGCTAGGTCCTGCTCTGTAGTGTAACATTGCTTTTTGGACAGTAAAAAGTGCAGAGGACCAAAACGAACGTTGCACGGAACATGCACATGCAAAATTACATCCATGCTGTGCTGTTTGGTAACATGGTGTGTACCACACTCAACATGGAGCAGAGGATTTGAATCTCTGCAGGGTCAAATGAAATCTCCAGACTATCAAGGGATTATAGAGAGAAGTGTGCTGCCCAGTGTCAGAAAGCTTTGCCTCGGTTGCAGGTCATGGGTCTTCAACAGGGTAATGATCAAAAACACAAAGAATGGCCAATAGGAAAACATTGAACTATTCTAGAGTGGCCTTCTATGAGACCTGACCTAAATCCTATTAAGCATCTTTGGAAGAAGCTGAAACATGCCGTCTGGGGAAAAAAAAAAATTGATCAAACTGCAGCAGTTTGTTGATGAGGAGTGGGAAGAAATACCTGCTGAGGGGAGAAGAAGATTCATGGACAGGATTGTTTGATTGCATCCTAGAATTTCTAAAAGTAGAATGGGAGGCACATCTTTTAGTTATCAGGCTCCTCTCCTGTGGAACCAACTTAGTTTTAGTCTGTGAGGCAGACAACCTGTTTATTTTTAAGGGTAGGCTTAAAGCTTATAGTTAGAGTGGCTCAGGTTATCCTGAGCTATCTTTATAGTTATGCTGCTATAGGCTTAGACTGCTGGAGGACATAGGGACCCCCATTTCATCATTCTGTTTCATTCTATCTCTATTCTCCCACTCTGCAGAATCTGTTAGTTCAATCTCTAACGTTCTGCTCTCTCTGCTTTTTCTCATAGTAGCTTCATCTGGTCTGTTCCTGTTTGGCTGTGACTCCATCCTGGAGAGAAACATCATCTGTGCTGCTGCCATCAACACCTTTGTTTACAGATGTTCAAGATCTGCCTGTTTTTCAGTGTAGTCCTGTTTCTCTGACTGTGACAGACTGGACATACTCTCTTCATCCTCTGACATGGGAGCTGGCTCGGAGCTTGTCTGCCTGGCTGTGTGTTTTCTGGACGGTGCCGCCTTTTACAGCTGCTTTTTCTATGTCTGCTTCTGTCTCCTTGAACCCCAGTCGGCCTCAGCAGATGGCCCCCCACACTGAGCCTGGTTCTGCTGGAAGTTTCTTCCTGTTAAAAGGGAGTTTTTCCTCTCCACTGTCGCTACAAGCATGCTTAGTATGAGGGATTGCTGAAGATTCGATGCAATCAACTGGTTTTCCTTAGATAGAAAACTGATTTAATCTGACTAGATGATCTGGTTGAACTGTAAGGGGCCTTGAGATGACGTGTGTTGTGAATTGGCGCTATATAAATAAACTGAATTGACTTAATTGCCTCAAAAGCCTCTCCTTTGATTTTTTTCATCTTTATGTTGAAGCATTGTTAAAAGCAATCATTTTCATATGATTTATATAGATTATTACTTTTGTCAAATTTAAATTTTTTTTGTGATTTTTCTTTCATTTAATGTGGGGTATCAACAATTTTTGTCCAAGTGTGTAAAACTGTTTGCTTTAAAGTAGCGCTTTTGAGAATGTGAGGCGTGCCTTCAACCCTATATTTATAAAGAGGGCAGCCATGCCTTCGGATCATCTGAAGCACAAGGCATTGCCACTCCCTCCATTAGCTATGTTTCGATTGATTTGCTCATGACAGTTTCATTTTTGTTCAACAGAGATCAAGAATCGGCCCCACCTAAAAAAAAAAACTGACAGCACATGCGGATCTGTTCAACTAGCGTGAAAAGAAAAGGTATTTGTATCAACTTAAAAAAAAACTGGTATTGCTTTGAATAAATTGTTTCTAGTTTTGTCCAAAGCTGCTTAATTTATAAAAAATATACATACATTGATTCACCAAATTATGTAATATGTAGTGGTTTTTTTGTTTTTTTTATACATAGAATAAAAATTTGCTACAATCACAAACAGCTTTGAACAAACTAGTATTGGACCGTGTAAACGTACTAAACAATTTCTGTTTTCTCATGGTGATACATGGCCATAATATGGGGACTTATTTCTTTAAATCGTGATGCTTGCACATTATAGATCATAAGGAAATAGAAATTTTAAAAATGGGGACATTTCTATTTTTGGGGCAAAAAAAAAAAATCAGGGTTGAAAAGTAAGAAAAGGCTGACATTTCAGTAAAGAGGACTGATTGAGAGACCAGGAGGGTCACAGATAAAGGAATCAGAGACCAACAGCTGACAAAAAGAGTGAGGAGAAAAATTATGTTTCTAATAGTTATGCTTAAAATCAAACAATATGGCAATTATTTATATTTTTATCTCAAATCATCTTTTTTTGTTTGTTTGGATCATTTTTGTCAGTTAGGTTTTACCTAGAAGCTGTCTTTTGGAAAATGACACAATTAAGGTTTTAAAGCGTTTTTGTGTGTGTGTTATCTTTTGTTGATTCCATAAACATATCAGATTTAAAAAAAAAAAAAAATATATATATATATATATATATATATATATATATATATATATATATATATATATATATATATATATATATATATATATATATATATATATATATATATATGAATCTGCATGAGCTGCTATACTAATTTTCTCCACCAGAGGGCGCAAATGTACCAAATAATGCATTAATCTGCATGAGCTACTAATACCAATCTCCTCCACCAGAGGGAGCAAATGTAACAAATAAAGCATGAATCTGCATGAGCTGTTATACAAATCTCCTCCACCAGAGGGCGCAAATGTGCCAATTGTTGTTAAACTTTATTAACTGTGAAAATGTCCGGCTTAAGGTGTACAAACCTTCTTCAGAACCTCACAGGCCTCATCCAACCTGTAGAAAACATCCGAGTTGATCATGTTGAGAGCAGACGGGTGATGTTTGGGAGTCTCTGAAGGTACCACATAGAACTTGGTCAGGTTCTTCTCTGCAGGGACCCACAGACTCTGAGTCCACAGCTCATCGGCTTCACTTTGAGAATATGAACACACCAACACTGGATCAGTCTGCTCCAAATGGCTCAGCATCCCCTCTATGAGGGGGGAGTCCTCAGCCCGGCTTCTGAGGAAGAAGCCTTTGACCAGAGAGCCCTTCTCCTCCGGGAGGAAGGAGGACATGCTGGTCACATCAGAGCCTGCAGGCAGGTCCCTCAGCAGTTTGTCTCTGAGTTCCCAATGAAACCTCTCCCCTCTGATTCTGTCCGGGCTGCAGACAAGCAGAGAGTAGCATCTGTCCTCCTTCTGGAGTTTAGAGAAGACGGCAGGTAGAAGCGCTCCTCCTCGGAGCTTTTCTCTGATTCCGAAATAAAGCGGCGCTCCATCCACCTCCACGGAGAAAACCCTGGAGGGCCACCGCTGGATGAGGGGCCTCAGGTGCCTGGCCATGTTCTGGTGTCTGCAGGGTTCTGGTCAGCTGCGCTCAGCTGAATGAAAAACGAAAACAGAGGGAAAAACGAAACTTCAGCTTCAAGCTATGCAGCGCCGCCAGGGGGCAGCAGAGGGACATTTCTCAGGAATCCAAAACTTAAAGAGATCTGAGATAAAAGTTGTCCTGAGATGCCCCCTGCAAAAATACTGTAAACAGCCTTTCATTATCCTTTAACTGCTGACCAGGCATTCAAACTATCCAAGAAATGCATGCATTTAAAGGACAATTGTTATATGTTGCTATGGTGACAATTGAAATTCAATTTCCATACATACCTTTTTAAGACTCTGTTTTTTACAAACACGCCCTAAAATGTGTTTTTATCTCTTAAATGCAATAGATAATCATATTTTATTGGAAAGACAAGTTTGGGACAGTCTCCACTGGATATTTGACAGTTTTTCCTAATTTATGACACAGAATTTCACATCTCTCAGAAAACAGAACTAAACATTGGACACATTTTATGACTTACAAACTGATGCACATCGTTAGAAATGATCTGCTCACATTTTTTGCTCATTTGAACAAGCATAATTTTCAAAATAAGATTTTGTAATTCAATAATGAACATCCAGGGACCTTTTAGGTCCCCTCTGAATCAGTTGTGCTGCATCTGTGTTCTAGATAGCATTTTTGGACCCTTTTTTTTTTTTACACCTAATGCGAAAGTACAGTGAGTGTTTTGTAATTTGCAGTGTCATGTGCTGATTTTGATCCGTGTGTGCAAATGACTTGAGTTTTCTATTTTTGACACAAACGTGCAAAGCTTTGCGAATCATTTATTACATATAATATGTTGTGCAATATTTTGGGGAAAGTGTGCTATTCTTATAGGTCTCACTAACTCCTCAATTCAAGAAAAAATGCGCTTATTTTAAGAAAAAGTGACTTATTGACATGAAGATTTTTTGCTTGCTCCCGTTTACTCCACAGTAATAAAATGATACAATCACTTTTCCAGAAATCCAAACTGAACCTGCAGAGCCACATTGCTTCCATCCTCAGCTCATGATCTAGTTTCGTTTTCGATGTATATAAACAGAAACTCAGCTGACCTGCTGCCTTTATAAAGAGCAGCTCAGCTGAACCAGTCAGTCTGCATTCACAGCTGTTCATCTCTGCCTGCATCATGCTTCTCTCCTCTCTCATGGACTCTCCCAGAGTCCTCCTGCAGCTCTGCCTCAGCACCATCCTCAGCATATTTACCAAAGTCTTTTCCAACGTTGGCTCCTGGTATGGAGGAGCCTGCAGGGGCCCAAACCCGCCGCCCTCCGATGGAAACATCCAACCGCAGAAACCTGCAGGAGAAGCTGGGACGACCCCAACCAGCGTCAACTATCATTTTACCCGCAAATGCAATTATAAATGCGGCTTTTGTTTCCACACCGCAAAGACTTCGTTCGTGCTTCCTTTGGAGGAGGCAAAGAGGGGGCTCAGACTGCTCAAAGAAGCTGGTAAAGTTGACTTATTTATTTATTTTTACAAATTACAAGCGTGTGTTTACAAGAGACGGTTAGGGCCACTGGAAAAAAAGTTTACTGATTTTTAAATTGTATTTCAGTATAATATGAGAAAAAAGTCACAATCATGTCTTTAGTCTCAGAATTCTTTCTTTAATCTCAGAATCCTGACCTTAATCTCAGAATCCTGACTTTAATCTCAGAATTCTGACTTTAATCTCAGAATTCTGACTTTTTTTTTCTTCCAGAATTCTGACTTTAAAGCTACAGTGTGTAATAATTACAGGGATATACAGTCAGAAATGTAATATATTATACATAACTATGTTATTTATCATAATCTACGAGCTCAGCCTCTTAACCTTAATATTTTTTTTTCCAGAATTCTGACTTTTTTTCTCAGAATCCTGACTTTATTCTCAGAATCCTGACTTTATTCTCAGAATCCTGACTTTTTTTTTCCAGAATTCTGACTTTTTTTCTCAGAATCCTGACTTTATTCTCAGAATCCTGATTTTAAACTCAGAATTCTGACCCTTTTTTTCCAGAATTCTGACTTTATTCTCAGAATTCTGACTTTAATCTCAGAATTCTGACTTTAATCTCAGAATCCTGACTTTTTTTCCCAGAATCCTGACTTTATTCTCAGAATCCTGATTTTAAACTCAGAATTCTGACCCTTTTTTTTTCCAGAATTCTGACTTTAATCTCAGAATTCTGACTTTAATCTCAGAATTCTGACTTTAATCTCAGAATTCTGACTTTAATCTCAGAATTCTGACCCTTTTTTTTTTTGCAGATTTCTGACTTTATTCTCAGAATTATGACTTTAATCTCAGAATTCTGACTGTTTTCTGACAGCTAACAAACATGTTAGCATCAAGCTCTCTTAGCTCTCTTGTTTTAATCACCTTCTGCTCTTCCGTTCATGAAATAGCGGGGACCCCTGGGGTACGTAAAAATTCGCCTAATTCTGTCCTTTCCACCAATGTGTTACTGGCCCTCCCAAAAAAAATCACATCTTTGTCAGTGAAGCTGAGTGCTCCCACATCTATTTTTTCATGCTGCTTATCTACAGTAAGATCCAAAATTCAGAGATTAAAGTCAGAAATCTGAGAAAAAAAAAAAATCAGAATTCTGAGATTAAAGTCAGAATTCGGACTTTTTGCCCATATCAACTGATAAAAAAAAAAAATCAGTTAACTTTTTTTTTAATTTTTTAAGCAGCCCTAATCCTCTTCCGTATGTTTTTGTTTTTTTTATAGCTATCAAAATTACTACAGGTTTGGTTTCTCTGTGTTTTTATTTATTTTTAGGCATGGAAAAGATTAACTTCTCAGGAGGGGAACCATTTTTGCATGAAAGGGGAGATTTCCTGGGGAAAATGGTTCAGTTCTGCAAAGTGGACCTGCAGCTCCCCAGTGTCAGCATAGTCAGCAACGGAAGCATGATCAGAGAAAACTGGTTTCAGAAATACGGTAAGAACCGATTTTTATTAGATATTTCCAACCAATGCAAGTTGGTTTAATTAATGGTCAAAGTATCTTGATGTTGAGTTTAAAGGATTCTGGGCTTTTTTCAAACATCCCGCCCGAACACAGCAACTCTTCATGTTCAGAATTTGCATTTTCTTTAAGCTACAGCCTGAGCCAGAAGATAAAAGGGAATAAACACTTGTTCAATAAATGGAAATACATTTTCCACACCACGATCTACACAATATTCTATTCAACACATCTACCAATCATTTTAAATCAACTAAAGATGCTTGATTTCCTTTTTTAGTGTATCTGACAGCCAATTGGATCTAAAACTGAACAGGAGTCTTTATTAACTAAGGCAGAAAAATCTAAATAGACTTAGATAAACTAAGGAAATGTATTGCTGTGAGTAGTAGGAATCTATTTATGTTAGATCTATGTTTTTGTCCTACTTGATTGCTGAAGCAAACCATGTTTTTAAAGACATTCTAAGTTTTTAAAAGTGCCTCCGATAGCGTATTGGCTTCATTTATCGATGTCATGCACTAGGAATGTGGGAATAAATTGATTTTGCAATATATTGTGATTTTCGTCTGCCCGACATAATATCGATCTTTCAGTTTCTAGTATTGATTTTTTAAAAAGAAAACATCTTTACCTAAAACAATGAGCGAAAAAGGGCCACCTCTGCATGGCCACTCTGGCAGATACAGTAGTAGCCATTCAAAACTTCCCCACTTTTCTTGATGGGCCCTCAGCTGGTCCCCTTCAATTCCTTTTTAAACATCAATCTTTGTACTAAAATTGTCATGAAACGAGGACAGATGGACCCAGCATTCAGGAGAGACAGTCAGTAGGAAAGTTCAAAACGTTTATTAAATAACGAACAAAACTAAAGTGGAGCTGTGGCTCGCGGATACTGCAGGAGGGGGGCGGGGGGTTGCCGGAAGCCGATCCTGATCATTGATGCAGATCAGGCAGGAACAGAACAGGAGGAAGGATCCAGGCTTCCAGGCAATAACAAGCTCCCAGACAGGTTCAGAGTCTGACAGAGTTCAGAAGCATGACCAGGCGGTCACGCACAGGAGCAGACAGGATCAGGTGCAGATGAACATGCTCAGTGGCAGAGGGTAGCCGAGACAGGACGTGGAACCAGAACTTGATGCAGGACCTTTAAACTGGTCTCCTCCTTGGAGCCAGGCTTACTGAGATAAAAACGGATCCTCCCCACATATAGAGCCAAAAAACCCAAGGACTCAGCGGGGGAGGAACAGTGGACGATCAGGAGACGAGACAACCACAAAACCCTCTTTCCACTGGCTGCTAGGATCCAGGACATGAACCATGAAATAAAACTGAACAGACAGGCTGACAGAAAACAAATAAACAGACTAACAGAAAGACAAATAATGATCTGGCCCCGAATGCTCAGGCTGAACAGAATATACACCAAAGGAAACAGATGAGAGGAATAAATGATAATTGAGGCAGGGAGGGCAAAATGACAGGTGAAAGAAATATCCAATTAAGGGAGAGCAAACAGGCCAGATCATGACAAAAATATTCTGTCATGATTTGTAGACACTAAGATCTAAAGAGAAGCATCATCTCCTGGTCAGACCCTGTAATTCAGTGAAAGGGTGGAATCAGAGTAAAAAATATGCAAGAGGAGGTCACTGCAGTGGCTTGGAGGGGATTCCGCTGGGATTTGGAGGGAAGTGGGCTGCCATTTGGCTGGCGTTTGACTGGGGAGAGCCATTTCAATGGCTGCTACTGTAGCGCTGTGGATTCATTTTGCTCTGCAGCGCCGTATCTCTAGCTGAGGCAGTCACAGTGGAAGACGTAGACTGTCTCAAACCCCAAAAAACATGTATACCAAAATAAAGTGATCAATATCTTCTGACACAGCACTTACTTTTTCATCTGTACATTTACTTTCATGGTTTAGAAAAACAAACGCAATTTATAGTGATATTGCATTATTGTGATAATATCATACTGTGACCCAAGTAGCGTCAGACGTATCACAACGTCCATGCCAATACTCCCCTATTATACATTGCATTTGATGAGTGTATAAAATGTTAAACTTTTATCTTTCGTAGGAGAGTTTCTGGACATCCTGGCCATCTCTTGTGACAGTTTTGATGAAGAAACCAACCAGATGATCGGCAGAACTCAAGGCAAGAAGAGTCACATCGAGAACCTGTACAAGATCCGCGGCTGGTGCCAGCAGTACAAGGTGGCCTTCAAAATCAATTCAGTTATCAACAGCTTCAACGTTCACGAGGACATGACTGAACACATCAACGAACTCAACCCTGTGCGCTGGAAGGTAATAACACACCTGGAGCTGAAATAATTTATCCTGATTAATCCATTATTGAGATAATCAACTCATTTAGTAATCGTTAAATGGAGTATAGAGGCTGTAAAACATGCCTTTAGCTGACAGAGTGACCCACTTAAAACAGTGATTATATCAACGTTGTAAAAAAATATATATATAATCATTTTGCATTTAAGAAAAAAGTTTTATTTTACCCCAGTTTAAAGGAATAGTACACCCAAAACATGATTAGCCTTCATTTTCTACTCACCCCTATGCTGAACAACACTCCGGAGTACTTTTTTGATATCTCAAATGCATCTGGAGATCTGGGAGGCTTCTTGCTGTCTGCTGACATTCAAATAATGGAGGTCTATGGCGCCCGAGGCAGAAAGGTCCATAAAAGTCCACAAAAAACGTGTCAATATTCCTCCATACTGCTCGTCCAATGTATTCCAAGTGTCCTGAATGGGTAGCATCCATAATTTACTCGAAACGAAGTCATTTAGAATGTTTTTAGAGCATAAACAGTAGTGTATAGGATTTCCTAAAAGCGCACGCCTGCGCGTTCACGACTCTACGGAAACCGCGGCAGACCAAACCAGATGAAAGTGCGCATTCAGCGTCTGCTCTGCCGATAATGCAAGCGTAGAAGAAGAAATGTGCTGTTTACCTGTGCAAAGAAAGAAACAATGAAAGAAAAATGTCTGAGGACTTCAGTGTTGAGGAAGAGCATGAGTTCTTTGCTGAGCTGAATGCGCACTTTCATCTGGTTTGGTCTGCCGCGGTTTCCGTAGACTCGTGAGCGCGCTTTTAGGAAATCCTATACACTACTGTTTATGCTCTAAAAACATTCTAAATGACTTCGTTTTGAGTAAATTATTGACGCTACCCACTCAGGACACTTGGAATACATTGGACGAGCAGTATGGAGGAATATTGACACGTTTTTTGTGGACTTTTATGGACCTTTCTGCCTCGGGCGCTGGGCACCTCCATTATTTGAATGTCAGCAGACAGCAAGAAGCCTCCCAGATCTCCAGATGCATTTGAGATATCAAAAAAGTACTCCAGAGTGTTGTTCAGCATGGGGGTGAGTAGAAAATGAAGGCTAATCCTGTTTTGGGTGTACTATTCCTTTAAGTTTTCTTTACATTTGGCTATCTGATTAATAATGGACCGACAAATTAATCAATTTGAGAAATAATAATTAGTTGCAGCCCTAAATCAACCTGTGTGGTTTATGATGCATCTGCAGCTAAACGTGGTTCTTATCTCTGCTCAGGTTTTCCAGTGTCTGTTGATCGATGGAGAGAATGCTGGCGAGGCGGCCCTGAGGGAGGCGGAGAAGTTCGTCATCAGTGACCAGCAGTTCCAGGAGTTTCTAGACGCGCACCGCGCCGTCTCCTGCCTCGTTCCAGAGTCCAACGAGAAGGTATATGGCATTACAGAGGCATTCACTGACACACTTCAGGGTTTCAGCGGGACATTTTTATCGACCTCTTCTTTTCTCATCAAATGAGACTGTAAACGGCAGATTAGACCTCTGCATCCGCACACATCAAATGTCGCTTGGGTCTGGTCGCGGACCAGTTTTGCTGGTATGCTAATGTATCGTCGCTTCGGTCTGGAATTTCTAGACACATCTTTGTCAGTGAAGCTGAGTGCTCCCACATCTCTTCCTTCATGGTGCCCATCTAGATTAAAATATACAAAATTCTGAGATTAAAGTCAGAATTCTGAGATTAAAATCCGAATATTGAGACTAAAGTCAGAATTCTGAGATTAAATTCAGAATTCTGAGAAAATTCTGAGATTAAAGTCAGAATTCTGAGAAAATTCTGAATTCTGAGATTAAAGTCAGAATTCTGAGATTAAAATCCGAATATTGAGACTAAAGTCAGAATTCTGAGATTAAATTCAGAATTCTGAGAAAATTCTGAATTCTGAGATTTAAGTCAGAGTTCTGAGATTAAAATCCGAATATTGAGACTAAAGTCAGAATTCTGAGATTAAATTCAGAATTCTGAGAAAATTCTGAATTCTGAGACTAAAGTCAGAATTCTGAGATTAAAATCCGAATATTGAGACTAAAGTCAGAATTCTGAGATTAAATTCAGAATTCTGAGGCTAAAGTTAAAATTCTGAGATTAAAGTCAGAATATTGAGGCTAAAGTTAAAATTCTGAGATTAAAGTCAGATTTCTGAGAAAAAAATCAGAATTCTGAGATTAAAGTCAAAATTGTGACTTTTTCCCCATATTGAACTGAAATCAAATAAAAAAAATCTGTTAACTTTTTTCTCTTTTTCAGTGGCCCTAATCCTCTTCCGTCCATACTTATAAACACACACACACAAAAATAGGTGCATTATTAAAAAAAGAAATTAAAAAAGAAGAAAATATAAATAGAGTAGCAATACTCTTACAAGAATATTAGTTACTAAAGCACTACTAAAGTAAATGTAAGGGAACAAAGGTAACCGGTTACTACCCACCTCTGACGAAGGTTTGTTGGAGAAAAACATCTCATGGATTTTGTTTTAACTCTCAGTTGTAGTTTAGATTTTTTTTCTCATACCTGCATCAACACAAAGTAATATTTAACACCTTTTAACGCTGAATTTGTTCCAACAGATGAGGAACTCGTACCTGATCCTGGACGAATATGTAAGTTCCTTACATTTCCTGTATTCCGGCAGTGATGCTTTATTAGCCTTCACCGTGGGGCGTTCAGATCATCGCCCTAAACCTCTTCCCTCCCTCCTGCTTCTGCAGATGCGTTTCCTGGACTGCCGGGAGGGAAGGAAGGACCCTTCCAGATCCATCCTCGATGTTGGCGTTAATGACGCCATCAGCTTCAGCGGCTTTGATGAGAAGATGTTTCTGAAGCGAGGAGGGAAATACGTGTGGAGCAAAGCGGACATGAAGCTGGAGTGGTGAAACTGAGCCGATCACTTATCCAATGCTTCTGTTTGCCTCTTGTTACACTTTGGATAAGATTATTGTAAATAATTCATGTAAAGCTTTCAGTGTGTTTTTATTTTTTTCTATATATAATGTTTTAAATTAAATGTAAATAAAGTTTATTTTTGCCAACTGAAGCCATAGTTTTTTATGGTTAGTTTTTTTCTGTTACTCAGTGGGGCCTAAAGGTATTAAATCAGCCCCTGATTGTCCAAGAGTTACTATTGAGGTGAAAGGTCAGCCGTTTTCATCATAGGTTCACATTTACAATGAGAAAGTAAATATACGTAAACACATTTTATTATTCCTGAATTTATCTTAACATCACGTCAGTTATAAACGAAAAAGATGCCTGACCCTCACAGACCTGTAACTCCTTTAAGAAGCTCCTCTTTCCTCCGTTCATTACCTGTATTAATGGTTTTTAACTCATTATCTGTGTAATAGACACCTGTACACGGCTTTAAACAGTGAGAATCGAAACTCAATTAGCTTAGTGAAAGGATTAGACCTGAAGAAGCACTGAAATACAAGTAACCCCTTAAACATTTCTTATGTCCTTCCAACCCTTCCTTAAGGAAATAAAAACACACTTTGCATTTTTTCAGCTTTCACTTAATTTCTGTCACCTCTGTTTCCATCCCAACAGCTTCCACAGCACTCACAGGGCGGGGCTTCTTCAGAATAAACAATAAATACTGTAATAATATAATATTAAAAATATGAATTCTTCATTTTAGCAGGTAAATAAGCTGAACTGCAAAGAAAAAGCTTATTTACTTAATATATGTAATTCGGACTCAGATTACATATTTATTGACAATTTTGACATTTATTCATTCTTTTGCTCTGTTTTGCTCAATGTAATTATTACTTTTTTTTTAGATCTGTAAATATATATATATTTATATATTTTTTTTAGTTTGGACAGTTTTATTGTATGTGTTTGCGTTGTATTGTATTTCTTTAGATGAGGATTGTGTGCAATATGTTGTTTATATACCTGGAGTGTGTAATGAAGATAATTTCCCCCTGGGATCATTAAAGTATTTCTGATTCTGTCTCTTGGTCAATTATAGACCTATATCATATCTCCCTTCCTTTCTTATCTAAAATTCTTCAGAAAGTTGTTGCCGAACAAATTTGCAACCACTTACTTCTGCTATTAAAATAAGATAATAATAATACGATTTTTTTTATTTTAAACATAAATTGTCTCATTCCATCTACAAATGGTCTTACCTCGTTAAAACAAAGAAAATACACTTCAAGAAAAATTGACTTCTACTTTAATTTTTGCTCTGTGTTTTCAGTACATGGGCCATAACAGCATTCTGCAGGGGCACTGGCCCCTGTTGGCCCCTGTCCAGAACCGCCCATGCTATCTGGAGAGACGCTCAAGTTTTTAAACTTCTTCAGAAATCATTAAGAACTTATTATCAATACAATTGTAAATATTAACATAGTTTTGGGCTTTTTGGAAGAAGAATCTGAAGAGATAAACCTTAAGCTCACTTCTTTAAGTAGGATGAATTGTCCATGCTTGACTTTTCCAGCTGAAGGAAGCCAAGAATGAGGTCACTGACCTTTGCTTCCAAGCTGTAACAGTATGAACTCTGCCCATCTTAGCACGAGGTAAACATGCTAACACATTAACTTGCAAAATATTGATTAAAACAACTATGATTACTCTGATGTGTGTGAGTTTTTTTTTAAGAAATGAAATCCATTACTATCTAATCCTATTTGCAGTAATATATTATTGCATGTGATTTTTTTTTACCATATTTTAGAGCAATGCAAAAAACGTTTCCAGTTCAAAATGCATCAAAATTAATAATCTATATTCTAAAACTTTATGAAATTATATTGATAGCTATAGTTTTATATATGTTATACATCTAAACACCTCAAACCAAAAACCAGGCTATGCAACTGCATTACAAATTAAATAAATAAATAAAAAAATTAGTGGAGGGAAAAAATGAGTTACTGAACGTAGAGGCTGAGCTCATTGCTACATTTGAGGATTTCTGTCTATAAGGTTTGCAAAAGTCTGTCCCTGGTAGACAATTATTTGAGCGAAAGGTGAATTATATACATTTTAACAGCTTAAATTCCTCCTGTGAGATTTGTAGAATTCACATAAAACTTTCTCATTGTGGCAGTTAAAATCCACCCCCCAAAATGCATACCCAAATGGCTGTTCTTGGCTCATTTGAAGCACAGTTTTGATACCTGTGAAGCAACACATAACTTGTAGTTAAAAAGTCTGAACAGGTTCCTCCATTCCTACAAAATAAATGTTCAAATTACAGTTTTAATTGATTAATAACTACATTTCCTCTTTAATTAGGCATTTTAATTGCAATGCAATGCAATTCAGTGACTCTAGGTCCTCCATACTAAAGTGGGTCCTGCTAAAATTGCTATCTATATATCATGAAGTAATTTTAACAGTCAATATAGTTTATCACACATACATCAGAAGATCAACCTTGTCTTTATTGGACTGAAGTTCAGTATATCACATCATCATATCACTCAGGATGTGCTCGCTTCGTCCTCTGGCGTGGGAGCTGGCTCGAAGCTCGTCTGCCTGGCTGTGTGTTTCCTGGACGGTTGCTTTTCGTATCTCTGCTTCATTTTCCTTGAACCCCAGTCGGCCTCAGCAGATGGCCGCTCACACTGAGCCTGGTTCTGCTGGAGGTTTCTTCCTGTTAAAAGGGAGTTTTTCCTCTCCACTGTCGCTACAAGCATGCTTAGTGTGAGGGATTGTATTTGAGTCTATGCAATCAACTGGTTTTCCGTAGATAGAATTTGACTGGATGATTTGGTGAATTGTAAAGTGCCTTGAGATGAGATGTGTTGTGAATTGGTGCTATAGAAATAAACTGAATTGAATGTGATGAATAAAAATGTTAAATATTTCCAGCGTTTTTATTTTTTTTTTTTAAATATAAGTAAATAAATAATAAAAGTATGCATATTTTAATTTTATGATTATTTATTCCGTTCAATAATCTAATCATATCCAGTTTCAATCATGATGCGCCTTTGGGTACTATAGTAATTCAGAGATTTGGCCAGCAGATGGAGCTCTCGGTCGTGTACCGCGGTGCAGTGAGCACCTTGTCCTCTGGGGGGCAGTGTTTCACAGCTCACCGCCTGAAAGCCTTTTCTCCTTCACAAATGGCGTCTGTTCAACGAAAGGCAGCTGATTCCCCACTGAGCAAAGTAACAGGAGCGGAGGAGAAGTAAACACACCGCCCCCGGATTTCCTTGCAGCAGGATAGTCTGTTGTTTTCTTTTGAATCTGCGTCGCTTCCTAACGGTCGGACGTTGCTTCCTCCCCGGAAATCAAGAGTTAAAGCAGCGCCGCCGTTCCGGTGTGAAAACAACCCCCTCCCTGCTAAAGAGGAGAGGGTCAGCTGCAGCCCGGTCCTCCCGCTGCTTCTGCTTGTTTTCTTGGAGGTCGTTGGTGTCCTTGCTTCGCTTCAGGGCCGGACTCAGGCGCTTTGTGGCCACAGTAGCGGGTCAAATGTTTCCTCTGGGATTCATGAAGATGGGCAACCTCCACCTAACTGACTGACTGACTGCTCCGCAGCGTTAATCCAATTCAGGAGATCATCTTTGCAACCCTCTCCTGGTCACACCATTGAACGGCGTTATCCCAGCAGGCCAGGTAAGGTGGGAGCCCTCCAGCTGCTGATCTGATGCTATTTATAGAAGCCCTCCAGCTGCTGACAGCTGCTGTTTAGCTGTATTAATACCGTCTACTGGCTGCTGCTCCAGGATGGTCTGTTTTGATGTTAAAGGAATGGTTGGTGGTTCCTCTGAGGTCATTCAGCTCCCTGACATTTCCATTTCATACAGCAGATTCAGATATCCTCTGGAAGAGGATTAGGGCGACTGAAAAAAAAAAAGTTAACAGATTTTTAAAAAACACTGACATTAATCTGAGAATTCCGACTTTAATCTCTGATTTCTGACTTTAATCTTAAAATTCTGACTTTAATCTGAGAATTCAGACTTTAATCTGAGAATTACGACTTTAATCTCATAATTCAGACTTTAATCTCAGATCCTGACTTTAATCTTAAAATTCTGACTTTAATCTGAGAATTCCGACTTTAATCTCAGAATTTCGACTTTAATCTCAGAATTTCGACTTTAATCTGAGATTTCTGACTTTAATCTCTGATTTCTGACTTTAATCTTAAAATTCTGATTTTAATCTGAGAATTACGACTTTAATCTCAGAATTCCGACGTTAATCTCAGAATTCCGACGTTAATCTGAGAATTCAGACTTTAATCTGAGATTTCCGACTTTAATCTCAAAATTCTGACTTTGATCTGAGAATTCCGACTTTGATCTGAGAATTCCGACTTTGATCTGAGATTTCCGACTTTAATCTGAGATTTCCGACTTTAATCTCAAAATTCTGACTTTGATCTGAGAATTCCGACTTTAATCTGAGATTTCCGACTTTAATCTCAAAATTCTGACTTTGATCTGAGAATTCCGACTTAAATCTGAAAATTTCCGACTTTAATCTCAAAATTGTGACTTTAATCTGAGAGTTCTGACTTTAATCTGAGAATTTTGACTGAATTCTGACAGCTAACAAACATGTTAGCATCGAGCCGTGGCCATGTCTGTTTTAAAGACTAAACTCGGTCTTTTGTTTTAATCACCTTCTGCCCTTCAATGAATTAAATAGCATCACGTACAGTCGCCTAATTCCGTAATTTTTCACCAAAGTGTTACTGGCCCTCACTGACAAAGATGTTTGGGATGCTCCCACATCTCTTCCTTCATGGTGCCAATCTAAATTAAGATCCACAATTCTGAGATTAAAGTCAGAATTCTGACGTTTTTCTCATATTATACTGAAATAAAATTTAAAAATCAGTTAACTTTTTAAATCTTTTCAGTGGCCCTATTCCACTTCCATACTCATGTATTAGATGCTTTGCAAAGGTATTCACTACGGTGGCCGAGGGGTTCAAACATCACGTAAATACATGACCTTGCAGCATTTTGCAGGAGTAAAGTGAGAAACCTCTTATTTATTATTTTTTTTAACAGTTGTTGTGTGGTTACGTCTGTTTGGGAGAATATTTATGATTGATTATCGACGAAAAATCATTTTGAATTTAAATCGGCATTACTTTTTAAGACGAAAATTTTTAATTTTTATGTAATATTTTTTTAATTATTGGAAAATAAATTATTCACAAGTTTCTTCAAATCTCCAAATATTCCAAAATGATATTAAGTTTTCATACCTCGATTAAGTTACTAAAAAATAACAAAGCCTTAAAGTTTTCAGATTTAATAGCAGTCTACTTAAGCTCAAACCCTATGTTTTATTTTCTTCCTTTTTTCCTTTGAGTTTTTTAATTTTACTCTCTGTTTAATTTTACATTGGATTCTTTTTCTATTGTGACAAGCAGAGTGACAAAGCTCTTCAATTGTTAACCGTTTTTTCACTCTATTCCTGCAAACTCCAATGTCTGTTAGAGGGAATAATGTGATCGACACAAAGTATAGTATTAAAAAAAAAAAATCAGACCATTTGTGGAAGGCCGTTAACAATGAATAAAATCAACTTTGATTGCAGAAATCACCAGGTTTGTAAATAGAGAGCAGATAAACAACCAGCATCATGGGGTTCAGGGAGGAAACTGTTGTGTATCTGAAATAAAACTTTAATATTAAACTACAGTACATGTTGTAATACATTTTTATCCATCCTCACTACTGATATCTAAATTTACTGTAATCAGAAAGACACAGTTTTTGAGAAAAAAGACTAGATTTAAAAACTATATTTACATTATATGTTCATCCTGCTTTGTAATCCAGGGCATAATAACTGGGAGCTTTCAGAGAGAAAAGTCACCTACTTAGTCACTAATCTCTTTCTTATTTTCTTATATTATAATAATTTATTTATTTATTTTTTGTTTAAAAAAAAAAGTTTCTAGATTTAGAAATTCTCAAAATATAGCAACGAAGTTGCTAATTTGGCAACACTAGACTGTCTTCTCCATTATTCCTGCGTTCCAGGGTTTTTCACGATACACAAAATCAGAACTCAATATCGATAAACTGATGAATATTTAATAACAGCTTTGATACTTCGAGGATAAAAACAAAAACAAAATAAAACACCAAAAGGGTTAAATGCTTAAATAAAACATAATATAAAAACTGAACTTTTTCTAGCTCAACATTGAGGTTGCTTTCTCAACATTGTGAAATAGAAACACTGCAATTTTGGAAAAAAATCCTGAGTGGTGGCCAACTTTACACGGGTGAATGTGATTAGTTGTTATCAAGGGGGCGGGATTGTTGTGGCGGAAGGTTCACAACAGACATGTTCACAAGTCATTTTTTGCAAGTCCAAGTCAAGTCTCAAGTCTTGAGAAGGCCTGTCGCAATAATCAATTAATCGCACAAAAATTCCTAATCACTTGACTAATTAAAAAAGTGCAATAATTTTCGTGCTTGCTTGTTTCTCCTTGTGTTTTCATCTCCGTCACTGAGACGGTATCGCTTAAAGGTCGCTATCATATCTTTGGAATTATCATTATCTTGAACTGCTAAATGAAAAATACAATTAAAAAAAGCACACACGCAAAATTTTTTTTCCAGATAAATTTTGCATTTTTATTTTTTTTTCTTTCAAAAAAACTGTTTTCTTACAGTATTTACCTGTAACCATTTGTGGTTACAACTTTTTCTAGTTTTAGCAGTAAATGTCTGCTCTTTTATTTTTAAGTGAAAATTAGGACTGTGGAAAAAAAAACAATCACAATCCTGCCTTTTATTAATACATATGAGGTTAGCAACTACAAGAGATAAAGAAAAACCCTAAACAAATAGCAGGACAATAACCATACTTTTATAAAAGAAAGATTGTGGCAATAACTTTTTGTAACTTAATGACTTGGCGGGCAGTATTTTTAATTCAATTCAGTTTATTTATTTAGCGCCAATTTACAACATTATTCACAACATATTTCTCCTCTACCACTGCCATGAAGGTTTTAAAGCTGGGCTTGTTGATCAAAGACAAGGGGAGGTTGCATGAAATAATAAGGTCCTGAATTATTGCCTTATGTCTGTGATCTCCCTGGCTGTACACCTGCACTAGATGTGGTGGACCAAGCATCGTGTATTTTTTTCTAAAGAAGCTGCAGTTTGCTGCTCTTATATTCCCGCCTTATGTAAAGTTTTTTGTAGCCAAAGGTTGTTATTATGAACGGTGGCACCAAAACAGGGGGGGTAATCATCGCTTCCATATCTGTATGGGTTGCATGCATGCATGCGCACGGGCTTATATATCACGTACTGTTGCGTCAGTGACGTCAGTGTGTTGCACAGGGAAAAATATGATTTATGGTTTTCTTTCATTTAAATGTTAGTTTTATGCTTCGCATGTTTGGAGAGGAAGATATGATTTGTTTTTCTTTGTATTTTCTTCTTGAGCTTTGCATGTTTTGATGTTTCTTTTTTATATGATTGTTTTCCTTTATTTTAGACTTTTGAATTTTTCCTGCATGTTGGGTTGTTTTGGTTTGTTTTTCCCTTCTGACAATCCATGCGCACTGGACTGAAGTAGTTGTCTGAGGAGGCGGAGTGCATTAATTGTGCTGCGTAACTGCTGCGCTCAGGTGTGAGCAAGGGCTGATTAAAGCCGACATAAAAGGAGTCTAAAGGAAAGGAGAAAGAGAACAGAATCTGCAGGTGACAGAGACGGACGCGCTGCCGGGGGAGAGGCAGGTGGGATCCGTCCGCCAGGAGGGTTCACAGATGGCCCAGTAAGGAGTATTAGGGCAGAGGAGGAACCTCGCCTGTAAGTAGCGCTCCCCCTCGCTTAAAGCATAAACAGGAATATATCTTCCGACGGGGTTTGGCGCGTGGATGCTGGCGTTCTCCTTGCTTCTCTTTTTAGCTGGATCGGTCTGGAAAGGGGTGTGGCACGCCAGGGAGTGGAACAGTCCCGGGGCGGCGCAGAGTCAGCTGTGGATCAGTCAGTGGGTGCTCCAGGCTGATCACTCGCACCAGAAGCAGCATAACAAGCGGAGCCCAACTTGCAGCCTTTGATTTTTAAGGAAAACTCTTAAATTTTAGGTTTTATCAGGAGAAGAAAAGGACTGTTTTATTATGCCACTTTTGCGGTGACTTTTTGTATAAATAAAACACTTGAACTTGAGTGCTTCACGGTTTGGGTCTTTGAGTTGTTTGCTCCTCCTTGTGTCAACGACTGAGTGTGGGGCCATACTGGCCACAAGTGCTACTTTTTTTTTTTTTTTTTCTGTGTGCGGGTGAGGCGAGCGGCGATCAGTCAAGTTAGTAAAACAAAAAACACTTGAATAAGTGTTTTTACACTGGAATAAAATATTGTTCACAAGTCGGAAATCACGAGTCTCAGTCGAGTCTGAAGTCATTAAATATGCGACTTAAGTGCGACTCGAGTACGAGTCACAAACTCGAGTCCCCATCTCTGGTTCACAAGCATTTGATTGTGGCCGGTTTGTCGGAAGCATCTTTGGGAAATTCCATTGGGACCAAGTAGCACTAAATTGGTGACTTAGAAACGACACTGTCAAGGAACGCTATGGACAGCGGAAACATGCAAGAGGAGGAGAGTTTAGTGTCGGAGGTCGT